GAACAAATTAAAGAAAGACCCAGGACGTACAGCAGTAATTGCCCGTTTAACACAGCTAGAAAGGGATCCTCGGTCTCCAAGGCCGGTGAGGAACTCAAGTTTCGGTTTTATTCCTAGATTTCCTATCGCCTCCTTTCTCCAAGCCAGACCAAAATATTCCGGTCGAAATCTAGGTATGTGTTTGTCGGACATGAACCTTGCTTGCCTTTTCTGTCTCTGGTCTACAACAACAAAGACAATGCTCACTAGCCCTCGCGGCCCTCCTCGTGTACACGAGCCCCAGATTCACGCTTCGGAAGCGCTGGTGGAAGCCTAGGGCATTCGCCTCCAGCTGCTTCGCACCAAGACGGCTCAAGCTGCTCTTGCGGTTTAAAGAAAAGAGCACAGGACTATTAAAGGAGACTCGTGGAAGGTCCTGTGATAAACCCACAACCGAAGAGCTGCTGGCTCTTCTGGAAGTTCCATTCCGTTCAAACCACCATTTCCAACGCAAGGTTTCACAGCCATCCCACTAGAGAAGCGGTGCTGTCTGGGCTCAGCCAGCACTCTTCATTCAAAGCAACCCTGACATGGTATTAAAAAAGAATAAACAAAAAACCAAAAACAGAGCATCAAATACCGTTAGCAACAAGAGGCAGAGTCGTAGCGGGGACGGTCCAAGACAGAATGCCGAACTGGAACCAAACTCCAAGGCTCTGGGAACAAGGGTGTGCCTGCGAAGGACAGCGCCGCGTGTGACACCGCACCCACCCAGCAAAGGAAGGCTACGTCAAACCGGCGGCCAGATCGCTAGCTGTGAGCCGCAGGTTGCCAGCTTCCACCAGCGCTGCAGCAGGAACCGGTTACTCGCATCAAGGAGAATGATTTTCAGCATGAAACAGCAAGCTCTTCGACACCATGGCACACGGAGCTGCGAACAAAGCCACAGTACCGTGTGGACAAGGAAAGAAACAAAGGATAAGAGACATGAAAGAGCCCGGGGATGACAGAAAGACTCCCGGACCAAAACAAACAGATGGAGAAGAGGTTCCTCGTCAGCCAGCTGGACCAGTCCGATTTCTCACACATGCCCAACCTCGTGGGGAATCGGCAGAAGAAACAGGAGAGAGAGTCCCTCCTGCTGGTACACACCGGCACCGGTTCAATCCAAGCCCCGGGCGACTCTGGCCTTCTTCCCTACCTCCAGACACTTTCAGGAGACGCCTGGAAATTCCCAGCTATAAATCCTTTCAGCGCCATACCAAACACATTCCGGTCTTTGGAAACGGCACACGGCAGCCATATCATTAAGCCAGGATTTGTCCTTCTGAAGGACACGACTTGTTGTTTTACGCGCACCGTCAAGAGAACAACTGCTTTTTCAGTTGGTCGCATCCTGCGTAAGGTGAGGCAACAGCCCCCACCTCGGGAGGTACTGTAACAAGAGAGCAGAGCTAGCGAATCCAGTCAGGCGTAGGCAATCGCTCTTCAGTGAGGTTTTTCCTCCCCTTTGCCCCACCTCCTTAACTCTACAACCCACAGGAGAGCAGGAGCTTCCGTTCAAACCACGCATGCTGACAGGGCACAAGCGTTTCTCCAGAGAGCGTCATTACGCTATCCGAACGGGGCCTCTGGGGATATTCACAGTGTGCGCGTCAGGAGACCAGAAAACCGTTCATCTAGAAGGGCAGCCTCCCCCCACGCAAAGAATCGATTTTCTCCCGCACGCCTCTCCCTCCGCAAATACCTGCTGCAGAAACGCCTGCTGTTTGAACGTGGTGGATTGGGTTTGCTAGAAGAAAGGAAATACCAGACGCAATCAAGAAAGGCTCCTACTACAGGAAACCCTTTCATCAGTGAAAACGCCTCAACTCTTGCCTCTCTCCGCCACGTAGCTTGAGGCTCCACGTCAGACCGCCCTTTCGCTAGCATCGCCACATTCCTTGCCGTCCATCCCCAGCGTGCTGCCGGTCCTCGGCGTGAGAACTGCGAAAGTGCGAGAGGCCAGGCGCTCCGTGGGTCCAGAAGATGGCCTGGCACCCCGCCATCAACGCCCCCAACCGCCCCTGAGGGAACGGGTTCCGCTCGTACAACGGCTGGTGCGCATGTGCGGCACAGCCCCTTCCCCGTTCAAGAACACGGATACAGAAGGAGGGCTGCATCACAGGGTGGCAGCACCGACCAGACGTTCTTGCAAGGGCCCGGGCTCCTCCAAAAACTGGCCCAGTGGTTAAAACTTCCTTCTTCTTCGACACTTCATCAGCATAGCACAGAAAGCAGGCATCCCTCAGCACTGTCCGAACCAGAGACGCATCTCGCCCCGCCCCTCAGTCAGGTTATGGCCTCTGCACCAAGCAGAAGCAACGAGAGCGTTTAGACGGCCAGCGACCGCGTCGTTCTCTCTCGCTAGAAGAGCTGAGCGAGGCTACATCCCACGCTTCTTGGCAATGTGGCTAACCCGGCAGTTTCTTGATCTTTAACTCTGAGGGTTGCCACTTGAGAGGCGCCCTCCCCCTTTCCAGGACGCACCCGGCTACGCCGCGCAGCTACGCAGGCAGAGTCGCTTCTGCAGCTCCCGGGACCCCCACAGGGATTAGCATGCCACCTGGATTTTCTGGGAGAGCACGGTGGGGTATGACAGTCGGAGAAGGCTAAGCCAAGGCAGACGAGCAGCCTAAGCCCCGGATTCGCCACCTCCGCTCCCCAAATGGCGTAAAGCACTGGGGTGTCTTCCCTCAGCCAAGGTTGGAAGGAACTGGACTGCAGGTCACAGATACCGCGGAGCGGGAAGACAAGAGACTAGAAAGGATCTCTGCGCAATCTTTCTGACGAGCTTCTCCCTCCTTCAGTTCTCACCTGCTGTTGTGCCGTCGCTAGTTTTGGGTTTGGATTTAGACTTGAAGGAGAAGCGCTTGATGAGGCGGCGGGAGAAGCTGCCGGCTTTCTTCCTGGCAACGGAGTTGGCGGTGACGTTGGACAAGTCATCGTGCGACTGGCTCAGGCCTGCTTCCTTCTGCTTGCTCCTTCTCCGGAAGATGAGCTTGGTACCACTCCGAAGAAAACTAACTGCAAAGACAGAAAGGAAGGAGACGGAAACCACAATAGTACCCTGCCCTGGCAAGGCTGGGGGGCTCTCGGACGAGCAGCAAAGACCTCTTCCGCCCCGAGCGGCGCAAGCGCGCGGCAGGTCCGTCAATCCCAGCTCCCAACCGCAAGGCGAAGTCTACGTTCGGGACAGACTGCAACACCAACAGGCTGCTTCACTAAGCACCCCGTCAGGTGTCCCCTCTGCGTAAACTTCCTTTTATGCCACAATGTCCTCCCTCCGGCGGACGCATGCAGGGCAGTAATAGAAAGCTAAGGCTTATACGAATGGAAAACAAGTGAGAATGTCCGCATGCGGAGACACCGGGAGGAACACGCAACAGGGAAAAGGCGCCTCGGACTAGCCCGCCTCAAGGGTGCCCAGATTAGCCGGTTGTCAAGTCCCCGGAACAACGGCCCGCGGTTTCACGAGATGCCCAAATCTGGAGACAAATAACAGCAACGGCTCCGGATGACTCCCGTGGGCAGGACACGACGGAGATGCCGATCACCGTCAGCCCCAAACGGGTGCAAAAAAGCACATCCAAAACCTGCACACCATACAAAGCTACAACAGTATTTCCTACAGAGGGGGCTTGCTTTCTGTTTTCTTCCTTCTCTTCCCCGCCCGCCAGGTCTCTCAAGAGTCTGGGCCACACACCTTTCTGCCCACTGATGTGCAAACAACAAGCGGCCACCACAGTTCAAACTGTACCTGGTTGTACCGGGTACAACCCCCCAAAATTTGTCTCGCTCTCGTATTCTGAGCAATTGAGATTTTGGCTTGCACTTGTTTATTTAAGTTTGTAGCTAACAAACCGTCATGGCTACAAGCAGACAAATCCAAGCTGCGCCATCTGCCTAACTTACACAGGCCCCGACAGTCCAGAACAGCAGCTCGGTCAGGGCAGACCCACTCTATCGTTTAAAAGCAGAGAGTTCGTGCAGACATCCTATAGTACCACAGGTCAGAGATGCTAGCTACTTTGATGCCAACGGAGAAAGAGGGAGGGCAGCAAGGCCCGTACAATCCACGTTGTTGGGTGGCCTCCATTTCCGTGCCGGAGGCAGCCTAATTCGGAGGAGGAATCATTAGTTACGGATGCGCACCTGACCTGCGGACCCAGAGGCCAGGGAGTGAAAATGGGTTCTCGGGAACACGCGAACTGCGCAGGGTTCCCATCTAAGAGAGCACAGAAACCGAAAAGGCCACAGGAATCGGACACCTGCAAAGAGAGGACTTTGGAACCACTCCAGCAGGAACCGTGAGAGAGAGGCAGGCTCTTCCAGGCTCCAGCAGAAGCCACCCTTCGCCACACCGAAAGCTGACTGCAGCCCCTGTGGTCGGGCAGGGAACTCGCACGTCACTTTGTCCTCAAGTACCACAGGCTAATGTTAGCTACCGTCTAACAATCCATCCTTACCTTTGTGATCTTTCAAGCTCCTGGTCTCAAGGGCTCCCGTGGAGCCGGTTTCAGACTCAACATCTTCTACCGACGGTCTCTCAGAGATGTCCGATCGCGTTGTCTCATCCAGCTCCTGACTGGCCCTTTGTCCTGACGGCGACGCTTCCAGCAGCTGTGACGATTCAGTAGAATCGTGCATCTGGTCAGCTGTGCCCTCCGCCGCAGAATCCCCATATGACGTGGCCTCCAGGGATGCGGCATAACCCAGAGAAAGTGCCATTTCATCTTGAGCGATAGGTACCTGGAGGGAGGTTAGAAGGTCAGGCAGACGGGAAGACGGGGTCTAAAGAATCACATTCATCTCCCTTCTTCCATCCACACTTACATATGGATGCTCCAGTTCCAATCATCGGTGCTAGACAGCACTGATGCGCAATCGTCATTCTCTTGCCAAAACGTACCGGAACACGGCCGATCCCAAAGCATTCCACAGCACCTCCCTCGCTCCCGTAGGGAAGTCCAAGGAGAACCCCTTACATTCTCCACGAGGTTCACAACCGGCTATGGCAGCAGCCTCCCTTTCTGCGGCTGCCCTTTGTGAACTCCCGCCGGCAGCTGCCCTGCAGACTGGCGAGGTACCTTTGACACTCACTGGGAAGCAGCGACAAGCCGCAAGGAAGCGGCAAAAGGGTTCTGCCGAGAAAGGCGTCTGTGCTGGAACCTTCCCACACCGGTCCCTATGGGACAGGGTGGTTTAACACACACCTCCCAGATTGGAAAGGGAGCCCCCTAACTACCAGAGACCTTGGAAACTCCCGAGATGATCAGCGTGCTACGTTTTGTTGGGGTCTTCTTGACGGGCTTGTTATTCGTCTCGGTTAGCTGCCTGATCGCCGTCTCGGCCACCGGATCCAAGCCATTGGGCATATGGCTATCCCCTGAGCACAAAAAAAGATACCAATGCTTGAAGTGGCGACCTTCAGCATGTGCAAGAGGTCGCTTGCTGACCATGAAGCTTGTAATAGGCAACTACATGTGCACGAAGGTAGAAAGCAGTATCTATTACGGACTTGCCCGAATAAACCAAAGGAAGGAGGCTGCATATGACTCCTGGCTCTTTTATGCACCTGAAAAGTTTGATTTCCCACCAGGCATACCACTAAAATACCCTTCCTGCTCAACAAAGACTTCCAAAGACTCCCTAGAGTTTGGGCAGCCTTGGCTGCAAACCATCAAAATGGCCACAGCGCTCTGTCCCGGAGACAATCAGAGCCCCGAGTACAGAGTGAGCAAAGCTCTTTGGGTCTGGAGAGCCTGGAACATTCTTGTCAAGCAAGGAAACACCCAGAGTCACAGACCGGATAGCCAAAGCAGAATTTCTTTTACCTGCCCCCACCCGCCAGCACCCCTCAGCCCAAGCCTTCACTTGGGCACTTGGACACTCTCTTCCGCAGCAAACGCAGATGAGTTCAGTGACCCACATTCAGACCGCTGCTCTCTAAGAAAGGCTAAGGAATGCAGTCGCTCCGGTAAGAGCCTCGGATTTGCAAGCACTTACGGCTACCGCTGGGCAAGGGGCTGCGAGGGCAGCTGCTCTCCAAAAGCACTGTTGTCTTCTTTTCAGTCACTTCCACCTTGGAAGGCGACCTTGATGGTGAATCTTCACAGCGAAAGAGAGACAGAGACAGAGAGACGCCAGTAAGCGGCGATGAAGCTTAGGCCCCCTACACACACCCCCAAAAAGCCTCAAAAACGTGCGGAGAGCCTGCAGAGGCTGGCTCCGTGAGGCTTTGTGGCAACAAGGTAGTAAGAAGCCTATTGGAAAAAGACATGTGAAGCAGCCCCATCGTGAGACCCCGTTCATGCTGTTTCCCAGCCCCACCTCGTGGACTATCCAGCACCACATTCATCAGGATGTCAGACCGCAAGTGGCAACAACCGCTAGCGAGCAAGGTCAACATGCTTTCGCTCCGCATTCAGTACACACAGAGTCACTTCTTTAGCAGTAAAGGAAATAGAGGGAGAGCGGCAAAACACTTAGCCCAACATCACGCAGACGTTATGCGGCAGCATACACGTTAAGAGTCGGGACCTCCCACCACCAAAGGGTGTCAGAGAGGCTCATCCCTCTCTCACCTCCCCCCAAACGCAGGGCTGCATCAATTCCCTCCCCCAAGGCTACACACGAGTCTCCAGCCAGCCACAAGTCGCTAAGGGAACGGCGACATTCCGACCCAGAAGCCAAAAGCGCCACACAAGGCGCGAGTCTGCGACAACCACAACATACAACGGCTAGACAGTTTTGCTACTGCCCGCGTGAGCGGCCTCGGGAATATTGCGGCCGAGTCTGCGCCCCCATAGCGGCCACCCGCAGAGGATGCCTGTCGCGGGGCAGCCTCACCCAGTTTGCAGTCTGCCTTGGGCCGGGACTGAATCGTGGTGACAGTAGTCACGATGGTGCCATCGGGCATGATGGTCCGGTCCATCTCCACCTTCTTAGTGGGAGTGATGCTGGTTCGCAGAGATGTGGCATGCTGAGCATTCAAAGATGCAGGAGACTCCTGGAATAGCAGCTACAAAGAGTAAAGCACAGGTCAGAGAGGCACTTCTCCTCCCAGACGGAAAGGCAGGCACAGGGGTGACAAAAGCTACTGCTCTGGGCACCGAGGAGTCACTGCTACAGTGTCGGCCGAATGGAGGTTGGCTCAGGGACAGAGGGCCAGGCAACACCCCTCCTCGGCCTAAGGGTCTGTCACTCGCCTGCGACGAGCCCAGGCCTAATCACGCTTGTCTCCAGCTAGAGGCTCACATCGTGAACGCTTCCAGAGCATACGTTTGTGCCAAGCTTACCGAGTCGTGAACTCACCTCCAATATAATGGTAGCTTCAGCTGCCAGTGACTGCCCAGCTGCTGGGGCCAGCGAGCAGACCTGTCTCCCAGATGGCTGTTTGCCCAAAGAATCAAGCAAAAGCGTGGCATGTGCCAGCAGCACATCTGCAAGAAGGAAACAGGAAAACACCACATGACCTCAGCACCTCAGATGTCTCCTAGGCAACCCCTGCTTTTGGGAAGCAGCCCTGCGAGCCAGCGAAGCAGATCCCCACAAAGCAGATCCCCACGACTTTGGCAGCTCCCAGGTTTGAGGCGGGGAGGGGGCGGGCAGCGCTCCTCCGCTCCTCTTTACCAATCCAGAAATCGACTCCCTTAAAGAGGTGGCCGTTGCGCAGCCTCCATCAAAAATAGGTGCTGCAGTTAGTCCCCGACCAAGTACAAATGAACAGAGTTAAGAGCCTTCTGCAATGTTCTTCCAATACACAGGGGGCAAATCCCCGCCTCCCTCTCCCTGCTTCAGAGCGGAGACGGGTGGGCCACGGGAACCTCCCGGGTACCAAAAGGTCAAAGTAAGAGCGTTTCACTAAGAAGAACAGACTCCTTTGTGGAGTTCACCACACGTCATACCGTCACAGAACTACCGCAGGCTCAAAGCACAGAAAGTCCCTTAGACATTTTTGTCTTCCCGTCTTACAATCCATCTCACGGCTACCCGTACTCACTTCCCCCTCCGTCACTGTTCCCCAGCACCTGCAGCTTCAGCTCTTTACTTCTAGGTCCCAACTCCCTGTTGAAACAGAAAAAGACAGGCTGGTATTAGGCAATCTTTGCAAAACAGTCACGGAGCAAACAACCCCGTTCCATATCTTCCCTCCCTCGAATCTCACGCGCCTCATCACCTTTTCCAAAGCTCCAGTACATGTGCGCTACTTTGGAGGACACGACAAGGGGCAGCACGCTACACAGAAGAGAACTCCGGTTCGTGTCCCCTGCAGGGCTGTGTAGGCTGCCAAGGGAAGCTGAGGGGGCGATCTGTCTGTAAGGCTGAGATTTATGCTCCAGGCCTTCTGCACCTGCCGCTCCCACATGCTACAATCAATAGGCGCCTCTGCCCATCCAGTTAAAACACAGAGTGTCCAGGGGAGCAGGAAATACGTATGCAAGCTGAGGCCAATCGCCGGAATCGGTAGCCTGGCACGCAGGCAGCACCAACATACGCTGCCCCTGCAGAGCAGACTTCACCTCTGCGCCGCCCGCATCAGTTATCGCGGCACGGTAATGGCACCCAGAGACCATGCCAACCGGAAGGAGGGCAGACACTTACAGAAAGAGCTCCTCATTCCACTCCATCTCTGCTGCAGCGCCGGCACTGCCAGCTGTCACCGGCCTCGTCTGCTTCTGCTGGGGTGGGCTGTCTAGCCCTGCCACGCAGTGTATCTCCCCGACTCCTGCAACAGAGGGACAGAGCACACGCGGGCGCTCGTCAACACGAGGCAGCGGCTCAGCAGACGCACGCCCCTCTTTTCCATTCAAACCCACCCAAAACATCCACTCACTCCAATCTCACCACCTGCACACTTGCCCCTGCAGATCAGCAATGTTTTCACGCTTACCTCCCTTCCCCTGGCAGCCCAAGTTCAGCACTCGAAGATTCCGGAGCAACAGCTTAGAACCCAGAGGGGCTGCTGCTACTCCGGACGGGGACTCTCGAGTCAACTTATTGATGGGTACCTGAGGAATGACGAGAGCGAGACCGATGCCTTTATCGTTCACTCGCCAGCAGACAGCAGCAAGATGCGTGACGTTTGTCCTTGCATCTACTAAGCAGCTGCTCACACCAACATAGGGGAATACCCACAGAGCCATCAAGAGATGCTGCAGGTTCCCCAAGCTATTGGCCTCCGGTGGGCCCCCGTGTCATTTCGGACGGAAAATTTAAGGCAGACAGGAAAAGAGACAGACAAGAACAAGCTCGCTGGCTGCCAGACAGACAACTGAAGACGACAAACCACAGACCATTCCATGCCTGCAAAGGCCGCCCTGGACAGAGCCTCGGTGTTCAGAGCAACAGAGAGACTGCCAAAACAGAGATGCGTCTCAGGCAGCCCGGCTCCACCTCAACACAACCGGCACTCGGCGTTCAGGAAACAAGGTACAAACAGAGCTGCCCTTCAGAGCAGTTTCTAATTATCCCTACTCCCCGTGCCAAAGTACCCTGACTCCTATGACAGCGCAGGCCAGGATGCCGCTGTCGCCCAGCAGCAAGTCTTGACCCTTGGATTCCTGCCCGAGCCTCGGCCCTCAGAAGCCCCCCAGGACACAGTGTTTGAGGCACAAGAATGACACGAGGAGAGAGCCTTACCGCACCGGCTCCAGCGGTGCAGGCCTTCAGATTCACCATCATGGCTGGCTGCGTGCTGACAATGGTATCCTCGATCAGATCCTTTATGGTGGACAGATCCGCTCTCCCTTCATTCTTCTCTCCGCAAATGAAGAGGAAATGCAGGAAAGTCATAATGAGGCAGACACATTTTCTCCTCATACAGCTCCAACTGCCCCTCGAGCCTCTAAGATGCTACACAGTCTTCCTCCCAGTAACAGCCTCCCAGGTGCTCTTCCCATATCCTGTACTCACTCTCCCCAGTGCTTAAAGCTTCCATCTAACAGCTGCAGGCAAATGTAAGTTGTCTAAATGAGACAAACTGAGCCTCTACATCTGTAGTCTGCCCGTTGCAAATTTCGACAGTACAGCTTTTAGTTTGCCACATTCTCACCACCTCACGAGATGGTACTACCGCGCTTTCGGGAGAACAGCCAGATTCCTACATCTACCCAGGATAAAGCAACGAGGGTGTCAATAAAACCAACAAATCGACCAACCTATTTGGATCACAGAAGCGCAAGCGCACCCGCATTCAGCTCGTTAAACCTCTAATACCCACGGGTTCCGCACACTAACCTCTCAAAAAAACCCCAAACAAAAACAAGCAAACAACATCAACACCCCCCCCCCCCAAAAAAAAAAACCCACCAAAAAAAAAAACAATTTTTAACTGTTCCCAAATTCTGGCATTTGGTTTTTGAAGTATCACTGACAATTTAAAAACCCCAAAAAAAAACAAAAAAACACCACCAACCCCCCCCCCCCCCAAAAAAAAAAAACCCACACACAAACAAACCAACCCAGCTCATTTTGCAGTTCTACATCTGACAACGGCAGGAGGACCTACATAGACAGAAAGCCTTTTTCACTATGCAGACTCCCATTCAGCTGTTACACCAAACTCGGACAACAGACATCGGTACTGCTTCGGCCCTCTTGAGGTTGTGCTATTTTGGCAGAGCTGAGCTAGTATCGATTCCAGGGCGAAAGAATCCCCTCCCTCACCCTAAAAGGCCACGACAGGGAGTCGCCAACCTCTCCCCTCCGCAGCAGCCTTCCTCTTGGCTCGGTGCTGTTTCTGCCCCTCCCGCCCTTCCTCCGCTCGAGTCCGGCCTCCCACTGTTTGCCGCTTACCTCGCGAAGTTGAAGTCTCGGAAGAACCGAAAGGTTCAAGTCTGGTCTGTCCTTGAAGGTCCACGACACCAGGAGACCTTCGTTCTGTATCTCCTCCAAGTGGATCTCCACCTGGCCCAGAACAAATACCCATGGTCAGGAACAGTTTCTGTTTCCATTAGTGCTTTTTGCCCCACTTAAAATTCAGCAACCGAAAGGCCCTCACACCAGTGCAACAATAACAGACAGAACATAAGAACAAAAGTGGTCCCGGGCCTACGGAAAGAAGGAGCTACAGAAGCCTCATCGCTCCATAGCGAGATCTGGCTTCCTCGCTGCCTTTGGATGCACAGACCCCGTCAGAGGGAAAAAACACAGGTTATTTCTTTGGCTGAAGAAAAAGCCTGCAGGACAATCCGAAAGAGCGAGGTGGGCACTGACAGGGCATATTGACTGAGTTACATCAATTAACCATTGCCAAACCTAAGCACGGCTGTTTGCAAGTTAGCAATGAGACTCTAGGAGATCATCCTCACACTGAAAACTCATCCAGGTCACCAATAGTCTGCAACAACAAACCAGACCGTACACCATCCCATAGTTCAGTTGCAAAGTTGCACACACATACACCTGAAAGGCATCATTAACGAAACAGACAGAAACAGAACCACACGGGAAGAACTCCTGACCCCATATCTCTAGTAAAAACAGGGGAATGAAATTTAACATAGTTCCAAAGCAACTGACAGACTGACACTTATTTACCACAAACACAGAACGTCCTCAGTTGAAAGCAACAGATCTGGGACACAGCAGCCGGGTAAGTAACCAACAAGAGGCGCATAAAAGAGGCATGGCACATTTGGGAATACAGGACTTGAAGTATTCTGACCGATAGGCATACGGTAACCTTACCAGCATTTCACAACGCAGCAGCAAGACCTCAATTAGAATACCACACGCAATTCTCTACAGGAACCATCAACCCAACACTTCAACAGGCACAGACAAGGAGACCTAGAAAATGCCAGCGAGTAGGGGAGCAATTTGATGAGACGTGACAAAGTCCACCTGGCTCCCAGAGACTAGGCAAAGATGAAAAGCGACCGCAGTTGCCGCCCACGACTAGACCGGCAGCAGGCGTGCTAAAGGCCGGGGCGGGGGAGCTATTTAAACAACCATGGAACGGAGACACAAAACCAAACCGGGATGACCTGATAAATGTAGGCTGAAAACTTTAATAAAGCTTCTGAGAACAAAGGGGTTCTAGAACAACCTTCCAAGTGCAATACCTGCAATAGCATGGGATCGGCTTCTGCTACCGCAGAGTTACTTCTAATTTCACCGCGTCTCCCTCTAGCGCAAACGAGCGCACGGTCTCCAAGCAAGATACCGTCTCCAGCATCAAGCCGTTCTTCACGATGGGAACACAATCACATTTCAGAGAAGCAAATCCAGCCAGAAAGTGACTATGGAGTTACCACCCATTGCAGTTTCGTAGAGCTTTTGTTCCGGAAGAAGCACCTCCAATATTCAACACAGAAGAAAATCTGCATCACGCCCTTACGAATGTATTAAGGGGAGCACCGACTGACAAGCAAACCACTCCTCACCGTGGATTTCTTTTTCACACCAACAAGCAGGACGACATCATAACTGTACGTAGGCACAGGACACATCTTTCTTTTTTTTTCCCTATCCATCACACCGCGAGAGAAATTGGACCCTGTGGACCTTTCGCTTCTTAAACACCCGCTTAAAAACACAGTATAGAACGCTGCCATGCCTCAAAACTCTCTGGATGTTGTTACGGCTACATTACATAGCCAAGATCTGCAGAACAAGACTCAGAAAGCAGAACTCGGCACGCGGATCAGGAATATTTGCCACATTAGTGACAGCACGCTGCTTCTTCCAGCACAGTGAGGCCTTCATTTGCACTAAATCGGGTCCTCCTTCCTCGATGGGCATGGGGCTGGGTGAAAGAACAAGTTCAATGGCTAACTTTTTACCACCGTTACCTGAGCCTGCAGCACAGCCAGAGTGACATGATAGGTGTCCACAGAAACAGCAACTGGGGACTGCTGAGTAACAGAGACAGGGAATTTCACAGCTTCAGCTGACAGATGGCAGGATAGCACCTAGAGAGAAAAGGAAGGAGATGAGTTGATATCCTTGGCGAGAGGCAGCCATGCGACGGCAAAACGTCTAAAAGCGACCAGCAAGGTTGACCCACTGTGGCAGGAAAGAAACCTCAGGCTTACTCCCACACCCAGTTCCACACTGCAAACCTGCCATTTCAGACTCTGTACGTGAGGCGGTAAAGACGTATCGGTGACAGGAGCTCTCTTCTCCTCTCCGCTGTAGGACCCCAATATTTGGGCTCAGCATCCACATGCCCCAGCTCCACCGACACATCTCCCCCCACCGGGGCTCTCCCAGAGCTCACTGACATGCAGCCCCAGAGCCGCAATCTCACGAGCCCGTCGTCAGGCCTCCAAACTCAACAACAGATCTCGCTTGAGACTTCCCCGATTCCACCATCCCCATCACGCAGGCCTCGGCAATCTCTATCGAACACACCGTCAGTCGACACAGAAACCCCACACCGTACAATTCAGAACACCAAAGCCTTACCATGCTGTGATCCGACTGTCCCTCGCACGTCACGTGACTTATACACCCAGCTGGTGGTAACTGAGGACCCTCTTCAAATGTGATCTGCACTGAACTCTACGAAAAGAGAACTCCATTAGTTCCCAGTGGTCAAGGTATCCCAGATAGTTGCAAAGAGGATGAACGATTCTGACATGGGGCCCCAGAGACGCTCCGGTCCGTTTCCATGAATCTGGCCAGCACGCGGAACCATCGCGCAGCGCAATTCTACCCACCTTGGCTTGTCTAGACAGAGAAAGGAAACAAGGTCTCCGGTCAAGGCTTAGACTCACAAACACTATGTTAATTTCAGACAGGCAAGCCCAAATGAGAATGGAAAATTGTTCTGGATAGCAGTCAACTATAAGTCAAGCACGTTAACCCTTCTTCATTGCAGAAGCTTTACTCTTTCTTCTCTCTCTCCCCCCTCTCTGTGCTAATCCTGCCCCAAGTTAAAAAACCAACACACACGCCCACCTCCCCCAAAAATCAACAACAACAAAATCCACCCTCAGCATACGGTACATCAGCTCCTGCGCTCGACTTGTTCCCTTTTTCCACCCTCTCCTGGTTTATCAGGTTACAGTCTCCCCTGCAGAAGCATCCTTCTTCTTTGTTTGAGGATTTCCCCATCCAACAGGACCCGTTCTCTACAGAGAACCTTTCTCAAGAAATACAAGACCAAGATAAAGAGTTGAGAGCATCCCTGCACGAAACCTATCCCTCAAAGATTCCCTCTGCTCACGAGGGGCAAAAAGAGAGAGCGAGCAGCCAATCTGAGCACAAGGACACCACCGTTTGCCGAGCTGCTCGTGTTTTAGGGCCAGGGTGACCGAGAGGGAAGATAAACGTGTGGGAAACCGCACTCTTTTTCTGAAGCGAACGAGGCCGCGCACCGCCACAGGTGACAGGCAGAAGGGGGGGTGGAAGGGGCTCTCGGACAATAATCTGACCGGCATACGTATTACAACCTGAAGAGCCGTTTGCTCTCCAGAAACTAGTCTGGATGCATGCCCTCCTCTCAATGCAGAAACGAAGCAGCTCTCCCAGCGACCAAACTTCAAAACTGAAAGACTCAATGGAGAAACAATGTCAGATCGCTCCCCGCTGCTTCATACTAGTAACGCCTGTCGCTTCTTCTTCTCACAAGCCTCCTCCACCAGAGCCGTGCGCTCACCCACACAGGTCATTCCGCAATATCAGATCAGCCCTTTCTCTCCACGACCAGAACCTCTGCCCAATGACTCAAGTACGTAATCATCAGCGGCAAGCTGTTGCCCTGTTCTTCCCAATACATCACAGTCTCACCAAACTGGGAGGTGCTGGCCAACTTCAAAAGATCTCGTTACTCTGCCCACTCGGAATGAACCGCACACGCAAGGTAGTGTGAATCTATACGTACCCCAAGGCAGGGAGAAAACACAGAGGAAAAATAAAATGAGGAGGGTAGCACGCACTTGAGAGGCAACTCAATGCCTTTCAAGTCTTTGCCCTGTTTTAAGGCAAGTAACTTGAAATCCAAACAGGAAATAAGAAATACCAGATGCTACCATTTAAAGATCTACGGGAAAAAAGCGACACCTTGTGACTGAAGCCGCTCTCTCAAGTACCAGGGATGAGAATGAGGCGCAGCAGGGCGGTGGACGGACCCTCATCTGCCTGCTGTCGACTCCCTCAGATCACGCTGCTAGCAGAATCCGCCCAAATTCAAATGCTGGCATGCGCTGACCACAAACACGCTCCTATAAAGCTCCTACCACACGCGTTACCTTCTCACATTCACCATGATTCAGAAACACGAGGAAATGTGGGCACATCTAGACCTGAATGAGATTAGGATGTACTCTTTTAAAATTCACCAAGCTGAAAGAAGCCAGGCAGAAACAACAAAACCACAGAAGGAAACAGACTATCAGAAGAGAAGCGACCGAGCAGCGTTCCTCCAGGACTACGACTCTGGAACGCCAGCCTCTCTCCGTTATCCTTTTATGGCAAACCATGAGTCTTCTACCCCAGTTTCGGCCTTCTCCTTTCCCTTTCTTGGGACTACGCAGAACGGAAAATGAGACAGCACACCCACAGGATGGTAAAGATGGCTCTTGAGCAGGCAATCAAGATAGGAATCTACAGTTCTTCCCCAGCCATACCAACAAGCCTGTGGAAGCGGGCTTATCAATCTGAGGGCCGAGACCCTCCACCATTCCGCGTCCATGCTGAGAACCTGACGCACTCACAACCATCCACTCCTCCACAATAATTCCTCTATTATACCCAGCTTTGCAGAGCTACATTTCCTTACAGCTTTTTGCCAGTCGATACAGCTAAAATGAAAAAAAAAGTGATGGCAAAAGGAGCTAAGAATAGGTCTATCCGGGAGAAAGTGAGATCGCTCGCTTCTAAGCATAAATCTATCCCCGACTCCCCTTAGGACTTACAAGGAGAGCAGGGGTGGAGTCAGACCAGGAGCGGCGAAGGAGCCACTGCCAATTGCAACAAGCTCTGTGAGGCCTTATGTCTCTTTCCTCCATGGGATGCGAGAATAATTTCGTAGGAGACAGGGACTGGGGGGGAGGGATGGGACCGCCAGGGAATGCTTTTTATGACAAGGCTAGTACATTTTCAAAGACAGAATTGCCATCGGTTCTGAACCGAGATTTACCTGAAAACTACAACGCACCACAAAAAAGGAGACGCGGCTTCTCTTCCGAGATCTCGGCAGACAGCAGGACTATCCTTTGTGCAACTTCGTTACAAAAACAAAACAAATAAAACCTAACACACACCCAGCCCAGAACAAGTCTCCTGTTCTGCCGTCTTCGGAAGGTGTGCGTGGACGTCACGGGAAGGCTGTAGTCAACCCGGGGCTGACTTCACCTAATCGCACTGAACTTTTAAAAGACCAGAGAGGTATTGTTAAAAATATTTTTCAGTTACAGTTAGCGCTTTCATATTATTAAGTCCCTCCTCTCTTCTCATTTGGCAGCCCCCTAGATTGCTCAGAAACATAATTCCTCAGGGCACGCAATGAAAAGTTACTCAGTCTTGCAATATGTTAGCAAAGTTGCAACGACCGAGACTAAAACGGTCTTACTTCTTCTTCTACTGGCACAGTCTCCTGACGCTACAGGCTGTAACATGAAAGTTCTCATGTAAGTCAGCGAAGAGGTCCTCGGCAGAACGCACCTCGCAAAAACTCAGCCCCAAAGCGCTAGCAAAAAGACAAAATGCTCAGTTGTTTTATCACCTGACAAAAAGAGATACCTCAAAACCAACTCCATTATAAAGGATAGCTGCGAGTCTAGGCCAAACGTCGCAATACAGTAACTCTCTACGTGGATCACAAAGTTTAGATGCGACTGAAATCGTTACATAAATAGTTATCTTGAAAAAGAATCACGTATCTCTGTGGCTTTGCGAGCGTTACTTGGATTCAGGGCGCACGCTAAGTCTTCCACCTCCATCCCTGACGGAAGTCCGTGCCATTTCTTGTGTGTCCGAAAAGAATTTCCATGTCTTAATTCCAAGGTTCAAGGAGGAAATGCTAGCAAAAAGATCGTGGTTATCTCTTTCCCAGTTAAGCACCATCAGTCACTTTATCCCATTTTACGAGGACCGAGGCGGCCAGAGTGCTGGAATTCTGTGGCTGGAAAGCAGGGCATTGGCAGGAATGGGATGCCTGAGGGGCAGGAGAAGAAAAAGGTCTGAGATGGAGTATTTTTCCCAGTTAAACAGATGTAAGCAGCTCCAGGTAACTCCCGATCTTACCCAGAATCCCACAGAAGACACAGCCCCCCCCAGGATAACCACTGGGCCCCACTTCAGAGAACAGCTTTTAGACCCAGCAACTCAGTGCGGCAATGCCACTTTCTGAGTAGACCTGCTCCAGATGAGGAGCAACTGCAGCAGAAACTGAAGCACGGCCCTCCAGGGGCCTCTGTGCCATTTCAGCCATCAGCTAATCTTCACCTTACAGCAGTTCTAAATTCTGGAACTTAAAAATTCAGGTCATTTTGTGAGAATCTGAGGAATTCAGTGCGCGACGGAAGAACGCAGCGTATCAGATATAGGCGACTGCTGACACCTGACCACCACGACCGCAGCATTCTGACGAGAGGGGCATGGAAGGAGAGGGTGCGCTTCTACAGCGGGAGGCGCTTCGCAAATGTTCTCGCCTCTGCGCGGTCCCTTGCCGAGTCCTCTCTCCAAAGAGGGAAGGCCGCTGCCTGCGCACACTCCGTCCCAGAGAACGGCCCTCAACTTTCCCTTCAGGTCTTGAAAAGAGAAGCAGCCGTTGCTGTGGCTCCCCCCCCCCGAGCCGCTGTACCCCGCCCCCCCCAGGGGGGGCGCGG